TAACCAAACTACTAAATTCTGACTTTAAATAGCTGTTAGAATGATTTTATAATATAATTTCTCATCCTAACACTAGCCATTAGAGTTCCAATTTGCTAAGGATAACTATTAGATATCTGGATCTGAATTTATTCCGATATTCGTTTACTCGAATACCTTTCAAATTATCCAGATATCTGTGTGATCTTAATTATCTAGATAATTTAGACATTATAGCTGTTTTTATAAATTCTGGGACAACTGATAAAAATTTGGTGATAAGCTTTTAATATCAGGTATAGACATTTATGGTGTCAAGTTTTTGTTTGATTGTGCCAAGCATTAGCTATAAGGTTGTCCAAAAGGAGTAAGTAGAATCTGTAACTACAATAAATTATGAGTTTATTTTTTTCAGCAACCAAAATAATTATGGCTGCCAAAAATAATTATGGCTGTTGAAAACAATTTCGGCTGCCGAAAATAATTACGGCTGCTGAAAATAATTTTGGCAGCCATAATTATCTTTGGCATTTAGGCATTTTGAAGAGGCTGCCGAAAATATAAAAAATGCCATAATGCTGTAATGCTGTAAATCACTCTGAATTTAGGCACACATGTATACCTATAGCCACATGACAATAGAGTACTAATCGTAAATTGAGACCCTGCACAACTAAAAAGTAAAAATCAAGTAGTATATATCTAAAATAAAGAAATAAAGAGACAATAAACACACAATTCAGACGTTTGAGAAATACTATTACTTTAACTGTTAATTCATAAGTGCTGCAGTAAATATTAGGCACCCATCCTCAGACCAAATTGTTCTATGCCTTAATCTAAGCCTACTAATTAGAGTATTGGATTAGGTTTAGTAGTGCTTTTATTGGCATTTTTGGTTGTATGATGACTCACTCAGCATAATTCTGTTCCCGAGCCATTTTTACTGTTACAGCACAGTATGAATTAGTTTGTATTAGAATTGACTGTCATGATTTCTATTGGGATTTACTATTAGAACTTACTTGCTATTGCAGTATATAATTGAGTTAGTTTGTATTGGAATTGATAGTTGAATTCCTGACATGATTTATTATTACAAAACTTACATGATATTGCAATAACACAGTATGTGATGAATTAGTTTGTATTTGAATTAACAGTTATTATTTCTATTGTAAAAAAAAATTTTACTTATTATTGTTAACACAGTATGTGATTAAAGTTTAGTTAGGCCATCAGAAAAAATTTTTTATTTCTGTTCTGCACAGATTTGCAAAAAAATTAAATAATAAGTTAAATAAAAATCTGTGCAAAACTTCAGAGTTACCAACTATAGCAACAGCAATTAAATACAGTTCTGCGCAAAATTTCAAAATATAAAAAATTTTGCAGTTTTTTGCAAAAATCTGCATTTTCACAGATTTTTGCAGATATGCACTTGTTTAATTCTCCTGATGAGCTTGTATTGGAATTGATGACCATGATTACTTCAAAAACTGTTAACAAAGCTTACTCAGACTGCAAAAGTACATTTTTGAGTTAGTTTTTATTGGAATAATAGTCATAATTTCTACATGATTTATTGTGAAATTTTGGTATAAACCTTGCTATTGCAGTATGTAGTTGAGATAGTTAATATTGGAATTAACTATCGTGATTTCTATCATGATTTACCGTAAAAATTTTTGTTACAGACATATTAGCTATTACGATGGGAATTAATAGTGTTAAAAAATTGTTACAAAACTTATGAACTATTGTGGTACATATCGAATAAAGCAATCGGGCATCAATCAGCATCATGTAATTTACTAATTATTGTGGTACATGTCAAATAAAAGCAATCAGGCATCAATTAATATCATGTAACCCAATATGAACCTGATTTGTAGAATTTTAGAATACGTACAAATTGGGTTCATATAGACAATCAATATATATCGGAATGCTAATAGCTCTATAGGTAATTCGATAAAGCTATAAGGCAAGCTTTATCAATTTACTTATAAAGCTATCAGAATCTGATATATAGGAACCCACAGCAAAAGGAGGCAGTAGGCGATTTTGTAATTTTATAAAATTGTATTTCTAATTCAAGAAATTGAGTTAAAAAAAATTATTTTGAGATGTACTCATATATGTTCCTGGTTTTAGTGCGGCTGCTACCCTAATGGGACTTCGATCATATAAAATTTATATATGATCAAAGTCTCATTTTCCTTTTACACCACTCATATTAAACTGATTTTAGGATTGAAAGATAAACCGGAATAGTTAACACTATTAAATCGATTTTACACGAATTAGGCTTGTAGTTGATAAAATTACAATTATTTTGACTATATAAACTAGATTAACATTAAAAACAACTGTTATTATCTTTCTCTTAAAACTTTTATAATGAACATAGTCAATTGCAGCAAATATATAAAATAATTTTCTAGATATTTTATTGTTATCTTTCATATTTTCTTATATCTTTAATGAATATGGTATCCAACTAGCCATACAAGTCCTAGTGTAAAAAATGTTTTTTTTATAATATTCATATGTAAATGATATAACTAATACTATTGGAGCCCTATTTTTCATTGATTTGGTTGATCCATATAGATATTTTTTATTTTGGTGGTGCAATACCAGTACAAGAAAGCTTTTCATGTACAATTCTTGGTTATTCTGATAATCCCAATAATGGTTACTGCAGCAGAAATTGTGTAGCTATTATCAAAAATTTCAATCCTTCTGATTATGATATGAGAAATGATTCTTTGAAACTTGATATAGGTTATTTTACAAATTGTAATGCAGTATTTTCTAATTCTTTTTACACTGTTACAAAAGTACTTTATGTTGATTTAGTTGATGGACAGGGATATTTTCATTTTAGTGATATTGTACCAGTACAAACAAATATTACATATCAATTTTGGGCTTATTTCGGATTCTCTAATTATGAAAATTCGACAGATCCTACTGATAATGAGTGTTTTGGAGGTTGTATGGGTGCAGCCCAAAATTTAATTCCTACTGATGATATTATTATTAGTAGTTTTTGAAAAATTGATCAAAGTAATTTTAAAAGTTGTTATCCATCATGTAGTAAGTTGTAGTTTTTTGGTAAAATACTATGTAGTGATCATTATTCTTGTAGTATGCAATATATCATATAGTAGGCCATAATTCTGGTAATAATAATAATAATAATTATTATTATTATTATTATTTTAATTTTATTATTATCCCTTAAGCTGTAGAGTTCGTGTAACAATTTTAGCTTAAAAATAGCATAAATTTAATTATGATCTATTTTTTT